CACAAAATCATAGATATAAATCAAGGGGATTAAATAAAGACATCGCTTCCCTCATTTTGGCATACATCTCAATGTTGTAGAACACCTTTTTACTCTTTGCTTACATAGCTCTTTTCATAAAGTGTCATAGTGCCATAATATACCAATGTTAGAAAACTACTGAAAATAATAATATAATAGTATATAATAGTCTATTTGTCAAATATAAAGCAATGCTTTAATATATTAAAAATATATGCTCAATTTAGCTTTAGTTCACCTATGTTAGCTACTATATTTTATGCCATATAAAATCAGTTTTATCTGTACAGCTCACTTGCTTTACAGAAAAAAATGCAGGGATTACCCCCAAAATAAATTTTATTTTACCTAATTTAGTTCAAATATCTGTATGGCTGAAAAGAACAACAATTTACTGGATTAAAATAATCTTCAGCCCCAAAACACAAAGCATATCCAGGTCTGCCTGGTGATGTGGGCTGTCTCTTTGCCATCTGCTCCTAAGGAGGAAGAACACAGGACTGTTCTGCCAGAGGGAATTCCTTCCCAAAGGCTGCTGTTTGGCAGCCATCGTCTCCATACTGATGCTTATGGAGAAGTAGGAAGCATTCCCAGCACCTGTGTACCAACGTACAGCTCCTTTAATTTACTTGCATACATAATCTTTTGAACTTCTACCCACAGCAATATAGGCAGTCCTGTTTCACTCGATTCATTTTTATCCCCAGTACAAAACCAGTTTAAAAATAAAAATGAAAGCTATACCTAGCAAAACTTGAGATTAAAGTTTTGCACAGTGCAAGCAAACAGAGCATTGCAAGCCAAAACAAAGCAAACAAACAGAACAATGTAAAATGTTATTCTAATCAAAATGTTGTTCCAATCTATGCTTACAACTAGGTTTCATTCACATTCCTCATGTAAAATGTCTTTCAGTGTGTTTTTGCTCAACAGCTATAAAGTCATGTTTTATAGAATCATGCCCCCTTCATGCAGCTCCACAAGAATAACTGTCTTCTCCAGCTACTTTGATACAGCTTTAAATGCCCTAGGGAGTTCCAGCTGCAGTCAGACACCTTGTGTATATAAATTGGTTTCAGTTTGCTCTTTTAATAATCATATTGCTTAATGCAGGCAGTTCATTTGGTAATGTTCAATTCTTGTTACAGCTATCAATACCTTCATAAGAAACGTTATTCCAGACATTACATATAAATAAAAGCTGCTGTGCGTCTGACAGTTTCTTACAGAAACCTCACCTCCTACATACATACAAATGGCAAAGAAATAAAAAGTGCTTTGCCTGCTGTATCTGAGAATAAATCCTTTTCTTCCCCTCTCTCCTCCTTTTACACAGCTTCTTTTGTCACAAGACATTTAAAGTAGTTCGGTGTTAATTTTTTTAATCAATTACATGTTGCTAAATAAACGGCTAATCTTTTGCGAGTTCCCAAGATGTCAAGGGACTTAAGGAATTTCACTGAGTATTTTTTATTTGGATCAAATTTTCTACCACCAGTTTCATTCTACTGTAGCCAAAGAAACACTTCCACTAAAGCAAGTGTTAAAAATTGCAGGACAGGAGCCTGAAACATGACAGGAACTAGAATATTCTGAGAAAGGTACCTAAAACATTCAGTCTCAGAAAGAATAAATACCCTACACTGCTCTCCTTCAGTACCAAACAACTAGTTTCCTGTCTTATGTCATAACAGAACTTGAGGAAATTGGGATAAGTTGCCACAATAGGTAAAAAATTAAATAATAATGGAGAAATAACAATACAAAACAAAAGTGGTAGATGAACAAAAAAAACAATGCTAGAGAGGGAGAAAAGAAAGAATTAAATTGGGACACTGAATCCTAACACACTGAAGGGGTGAGCTTTTCTACCAGTTTTTAATGAAGGAGGAATTTCACACAGTGAGTTTAAGCAAAAAGAAGGCATCAGTTTTCCCACAAAACATACAAAATTCATTAAATATGGTGTTCTCAGCTGTGGAATACAATGTGTATAGCCCACTGAGTGCTGCTTGGTAACTTGTTTCCTTCATACTTGATTTCTCAGATCATTCCAAAGATCCAATGGTCTGGTTTTGGGATGTTACAATCTTTAGGTTTCTGTAAAATATTAAAGAAATTGCTAAGTTTTCCTAACTCAATTTTTCTCGAAGGCTATCAACTTCAGTTCTATCTAAGGGTTCTTTCTTCTTACATAAATTTTTGGAGGTCCCTTGGTAAACATAAATAAATAAAAACAGAAACTTCACAGTTTTCATTTATGGATACAAAGAATATACATATATATAGTTACTTAGTTGAATGTTCCCTTTGCCTGATAGCAATGGACACTGCCTACACAGTTTTGCATGGAAAACATCCTTGCTTTGTGATTTCAGTCTCAATTGCCAGCTCTGTAGAGCTAGTTGTTGTCGCACAGGTCAGTATCTATAGCCATTCAAAACAAGTTTTTTTTCTAAACATGTCTATATGAATTGTTACTAGGTGAAAAGAACTTCGGGTTTTATTTGAATATCTCATTTCTGCTGTCTGAAATGCTGGGACATACCTCATTCTCAAATGCAATTTTTCATTGTGTATAAGGATATTATTAATTCTGAAGCTGAATGTCCTTTCAATTAATTTGAAAGGCTTGAACTTTTCCACAAAATATAGAACAGAACTGGCTACTTAACTGGTTACTTAGGAAAGGAAGAAAAACAGAACAAGCTAGATCATCTAGTTCCAGTCCCAGTTGCCACAGGGGAAAATAAATAAATAAATAAATAAATATTAGAACCATTCATCTTAAAATAGACCAAAAATAAGTAATAAGTACTTATCATACAGAAACAGAAAAGTGAAATGCAAACACATCCGCAGTAAGCTGAGCAGCCAAAGAAATGCAAGTAAAGAGCTCCATGTGCTGGAACAATGTGAAACATTTGAAGTTCCCACCACGAACAAAATATGGTCAGAATTCAAGAATATATACCTACTCCTGATATCAGATTGATATCAACACAAATGAAGACAAAAGCCTCTTACCAAAAATATGGGTCCACTAAGCACCCTGTTTCTCATTAAGTGTAGGGCTTGGAGAAGTTCAAATTTTACTTAGTACGTTGCAAATAAAGAGATCTCAGTTTCATCTCACCTAGCTTCAGTTTTCTTTCCCTGAAGGGTTGTAACTTCTTTCCAGTGTAATGTCTGGCACCCAAACTACTCTCTATGGCACTGAGGTCACAGAAGCATCAACAAAGGTACATTACAAAATTTCTACTCATTTTATTGGTTAAAAAAATGCAGCAAGAAAACATCAGAAACACAGCTTAGGATTGAAGCCAGATCCATTGGATCTCAGACTAGTTCTAACCATAAGCAAGCTAGCTATTCTTGTCTTTCGTTTACAGCAAATTACTTGCAATCAATTGATGCAATTTTTATAAAGACTACTGGACCCTTATAAACAAAAAGCCCTATTAGCTCATTTTTTCTACACAATAAAAAAAAAAAACAAATTAGGTCTGGATAACTTAGACTAAATTGATTAGTGAGACCTTTGAGTGGAAGAGTTCTGAAAGGCAGACTACGAAACCAAAATTATGACTTTTATATATCTATAAAGTGAGAGGTAAGACCTCTCACTTTCCTATATCAACCATTTCTTCTGTCACGCATAACTTAATAACTTCTCCCAGATAATAAAGTACTTTCTATTCCTTATAGAAGGCTTTTGACTCTCTCTTTCTACCACAGCTATAGGTTATACAGAGACATAAATAACTCCAAGTAAGTTATGTGAGTACAGATTGGCTGGTTTTCTGGCAGCTGCCAAGCCTGGTGAAGCATGGAAGCAATTTGTGAATTGAAGCAGTGTAATCTCTGAATGGTTTTAATTAATGTATGCCAAGGAGCTGAACTGAGTTCACCAGCAACAAAAAGGAAGGTATTTCCCAGAGACATTTGAAAGCCTAGACTAGTACTCAACCAGTCAAATCATCCATACTCCTGAGCAAAGGAAAAAGCTTTCCTAATTAAATGATGTTTTGTTCTTTTTGGTTGTCTCAAGAGATATGGGAATAGAACCTTATGAAAACTTTTGCATCAAAAATCCCATTTCATTTTTTACCGGTGTGATTTTCCATTGTTAATACTCTTAGTCTCTGCATATATTAAGGTACATTCATAAATGAAAGAAGTAAGTCAGCTTTTCAGGTATTTTGTAAAGTATCATGGGACATGATTGGTTTAGGATGAGTGCACAAAATCTGTTTGTTCAGCAAACTTAATTATAGCTGAGGACCAGTAAATACATACATAGCATGGACATACTGAGATTTAACTGGGCTCAGATGTACACAACATAGCTGAACTTTTGGGACAGCTGAGAAACTTAACATTCATTGACTGGTACTTCTTGGCTGAACTCTCTCTTAACATGAAGGAAGAAGCATTACAGTTAGGATGCTGAGGGATAACAGATCTTTAGTTTGCTCATTCTCTTGGACGTCTAAAATGTTAGCAATAAAAACATCCATAGTTAAGATTCGGGGAGAAAGACAGTCTCCATAAACACAACAGTTAAGCCTCAAAGATAAGACCAAAATAAGCCAACCAAACATAATTATGTACTGTGAAAAATAAAACTATTAAGTCTGCCTAGGAAACAACATTTAATTACTCAAAGTTGTGGCAGATATGCTGGCATTGTCATAAGCCCTATGAAGAATTTTTTGGAAAGTTGCTGTAAATTTTGTGTGTTCTCAAACAGGTCCAAGGGAAGGCAAGAAAAGCACTGTAAGATAGAGCCTTCAATTTCTCACTCACATAAGGAAGGGAGTTGACAGCCAGGGCTTTAAGAAAGATTTGCAGGAGACAGTATGCGCACTTGAACAGCGTTAAAAGTATGTGCTCCTGTTCCCTACTAGTTTTCTGCCATGTACGACATCCAGGAGCTTTAACAGCAGACTGTGCAGAAGTATCCTAGCATGAATTACCTTTTCAGTAGGTTTACCGTCTTGGGAGGTGATGCTTCTCCTCGTATTCCAAACTACCCCTGGACCTTCTCATCCTACCAGACCATTGGAGACTTTTCCACAAAGCTGCCTGGACCCCACCACAGCATCTACCCTGTGGAAGAAACAAATTTTGAAAATCCATGATGCATCATTTAAATCTCCTAGAGACAAAATCATTTGAAGATGTTGAGAGAGAATAAGTAATGTAGACTAAAACATGATATAGAAGAGCTGTCATTACACTACCCGAGAAGGTAGGAGAGTTGCAAGATATGCTGTTCCTTCAGCATACTTGTATGTATAACATGACTACTAAAAGCGCAGTTAATTTTGGGAAGGCTTAAAGACACAAATACAAGCACAGAGATTTCACAGGCAGCAATTTGTTAATAATGTGATCACTTAATCTTGCATATGAAACCTTGCCTGCTACTGCATTTTTACAAGCTTAACAGTAATGAGAAGAGTGTGTTTGTTACTGCTATATTTCTGTAATGTGTAGCTTCATCATACATAAAGGATATGGTGGTAGAAATTAGATCTTTCCACTGTCATTAACAGCAGTGAAACACATACACATTTTGAGGATGAAGTATACTTTCCAGCATTTGAACTTTCCTTTATTTGGAGTCTTAGATGCAAATAGTGATAAAATGAAAATGGGACAAAAGTTTAAAAATTAATTACTCTGCAAAAATATTTTCCACTTATAGCCTGAACAGATTGGACATACCTTAGTTAAATCAATGAATAAATAAATATTAAAAATAATTATCATACATATAATTTCATAGCTTGTAAACACTAATAGGCAAGAGATACAAAACAGACCTTTTATTTAAAATCTTTTAAAATTACTGCTCATTCACTAAAGAAAAATATATTCCACTGGCTCATGTTTATGACTAAAGACAACAGTAAATGGTGACTCCAGATAACCCATAAGTCACTGATTCTGTTTTTCAAAGACATGACTGCTTTCTATTCCTTTGGCCTCGGCTGCCTAGCAACCTCCACAGAGCTTTCTTAGTCTATACTAATTCTGGACAGTTTTTATTTATATATTTATTTATGAGAATGTCTATAAGAAAGATACAGAAACAAAGAGCTGTTTGTTCCTTGTTTCTAACACTGGATTCTAAACAGATCACCTCAGTGGTTCAGCAAAGGACACAGTCCTTGGTTTTGCAATGAGAGGTACCTACCTCCTTGAAATTGGGAACTAAGCAAATCCCACTTTCCATGAGACAACAGCTGAGTCTCTGTAAGAAGCTCCTGTTGTAATGGGCACTGATATTTCTTGCTGTCCCTGTTGATTTGCTTCTTTGATACGCTTTTTCACCCTGAAATACTAGCTGTTTATGTAAGGCTCCTGCTTTCATGCAGCCTGGAGCTTTTACGTAAGATGAAGACAGTTTGTGCTGCTGTACTGAGTCACTAGCAGTTCCTGCATCATCCAAGCACTGGAAGAAAATGGAGATTAAAACTCATCTCCTGCTGTGTCTGTGACTCAAAGTGGGACAGTTTGGAAGGAGATGGGACTACTTATAATAAGTAGTTTGAAACTGGATATGGACTGTCTCTCTCTGAACAAGTCAGAAGCTTTCTTGGAAATGCCTATTTCCTCAGGGCTTTTTCCTTCATTGGTTTTTCAAAATTGAGGACTGCACAGAAAATATACCAACACTACATGAGAAAATACTTTCTTACCAATTCAATTCATATACCACTTTACAAATACTGCTAGATCAATTCATCCCCTGATCAGCATATCCCTCTTCTCCAATCAGGAGGGAGAAAAAAAAAAAAAAGAAGAAAAAAAAAAAGGTCAAAGAAGTTTCCTAATCTGCTCTTCACTCTTCAGAATAGTGGTCATATCTTGTGGTCACATGGCAGTGACATGGCTTTTGTATCTCATGTCTCACTAGCAGCAGAGCTATATATAAATAAAAGACTTTTTTTTTTTTTTTTTTTTTTTTTTAAAGTAGTATAAACAACCACCAAAGAAAAAGTCAGGTTTACTTAAAAAAAAAAATCTGCATCAACCTATTTTAATTTGAGTCATGCTGAGACCATGATGGTTGTAAGATTATGGAAGTACATGTACATCTTGGTGTTTGCCTGTATGAAGACATCGATGTTCATTTATGCCAAACTTAACAGTACAAAATAAGTATATTAAATCTGAGCTACTGTAAAAGAAAACCAAAAATATATTGAATCATAGCAGTGTCCAGCAAAACTAAAAACTAAATGGATTATAGAAAATGATTCAAAAATAACCTAGTAGATAAAAAAAGCTTCATTTTTAGGTTTTTAATGAACAGTGGAAGCATCCACAGAAATAGATGTACAAAGATATTCACTAAGCAGGAGAAAGAGTTTTTCAGTTCAAGGAACAGGTAATTTTCTAAGTTGCTTTACCTCTGTCATTCCATGCAATGACATAAGTTTGTAGTTCCCTGAAAAAGTCTCAATGTGTGCTCCTTGGAGTTACTGTAATACAAAGAAATTCTGACTACACAGTTAAGTAGCAGCTTATTGGTAAGCACTTTCCTCATACTTATGTTCACTTTTTACACTATACCATCATACCATCTCCATTAAAAATGGACAGTCTGGGATTTCCCACTCTTGCAAAATGTAATCATGGTTTCATGTGCTCTACAGTGTTAAGCCAACCTTCCTGGAAATAAAGGTAATGAAGAGTACCAGAAGCATACACTTGCGTATCTGTTTTCCCACTTTCAGCAAGAAATCTTCTTTTAATAAGTCCAAGAACATATAAATTGATAATAAAAACATTTTTCATGCACTTTTATAAAAAATTGTTATAATAAGTTTTACTACTGTTGTGGTTTAACCCAGTGGGCTGCTCAGCACCACACAGCTCTTTGCTCATTGACTCCTCCAGTGGGATGAAAGAAAGTAACGGGGGAGGAAAAAAAAAAAAAAAAAGTAAAAGCTTGTGGGTTGAGATAAAAACAGTTCAATAGGACAGAAAATGAAAATAATAATGATTATAATAATTAAAAGAATATCAAAACAAATGATGCACAGTGCAACTGCTCCAACTGCTCACCACCCGCTGACCAATGCTCAGCCCATCCCCAAGCAGCAACCCCCACATCTCCCAGCCAGCCACCCCATATTTATTGTTCAGCACAATGCCACAGGGTGTGGGACATCCCTTCAGTCACTGTGGGCCAGCTGTCTTAGTTCTGTCCCCTCCCCGCTCATTGTGTACCCCCAGCCTCCTCACTGGCAGGGCAGCACAAGAAGCTAGAAAGGCCTCGGCCCTTTGTGAGCACTGCTCTGCTCAGAAACAGTGGTGTGTTATCAGCAGCATTCTCATCCTCAATCCAAAACACAGCACCATACCGGCTGCTAGGAGGAAAATAAACACTATCCTAGCTGAAACCAAGACACATACACAACGAAGAAAGTGTGTTAAAGTAGTCATTGGACAAAAACTTTTGGAAATATGCAAAAACTAGAGAAAGAGAAATCTCTCAAGACACATGGAAGAATAAGTTACAAGGAGTCTCATCATAATTTCTGAAGTCTGTAATGAGGTTTGAGTATGGAATCTAGTATAGATTTATACTTTATTTATATAGTACATTTATTTATACAGTACATTTATACTGGCAAATCTCACCTGCCATACACTTATGCTTAAAAAAGGGTTATACTGAAAAGATTGATTTTGGCCATCTTCCTCCCTTCCAATGCTCCTCAAAATAAAAAAGAGAGCTGTAAAATAGCTTATTTTTCTGATTATGGACTACTACAGCAAAATGCAGTGTTAAAGAAAGTTTGGAAAAAGGACATTATGAGAAAAATGAAGTTTTAGTAAGAAAAACGTGAAAGGAAAACTATTGTTAATATACAACATAATCTTTGCTTAAATAACTCACGAAGGAAAACTGCAAGAAATCTTTTTAAAATAGTCAATAGTATCAGCTCAACGCCCAGCTCCTCGTTCTAAGTGCTCTGGTTTTACTCCACACTTATGCCAGTACAACAGATCAATATTTGGTCCTTTATCTTTAATGCTTTCTAAACATTTATTATGGCAATAAGTAACACAAGCTCATTGAAGTTATAATCAGGCTTTTGTAATTGTTCTTAAAGCAGTTATTTTTTATGAATTGCAATCAGATGAAAAAAAGCTGCAGAAAAAGAAGACTTATTAGAGAAAAAAAATAAACATGGTAGCATGCTCTACCATGTTGACATAGTAAATGAAATACACAAGGAGAAATTAACAAATATCTACTCAGTTCCTGCCGTTTGTAATAAATATTAAACGTTTGGCTATTCACATGTATCACTAACAGGGTAGCATTCAACTGCCAAAAGAAAGGGGGCTATTTTAGATGATCCATGTTACTGTATCTGCCCTGAGTTATTCCAGAGGAGCACAGGTTCACTATAGGCCCCATCTCTTATCTGCTTGCTCCTGTGGAACTCTTGGATACTCTGGGACATCTGAAATAGCATCTGATGCCTTTACTTATGAATCTGAATTGCAAGCAGTTAGCAAAATACATGTGAGCTCTTTATGTTAGGTAACAAGTAAGGGTAAAGGCAATAAAACAGGAAAAATGTAATGTGCTATGTCCACATAAGACTTTCAACAGTCCCAGAGGGTACAGGGAGAGAATGATACTCTGTACAGTTTCTTAAACAAAGAAACGCTTTTATACACACACTGTCTTACCAGTAAATATGAAGAAGTTGAGTTAAATCTCACCTCTGAATAACTGCTGATTCACTGTGCAGTAAAACTAGCTATCAGTGTTTTCTTGCTGATTTGAAGAGGCATTCTTGCCAACTTCTATTCCCCTCAGTTGTTGACTTATTTTGCTATTTCAGATCTCTATTTTATCTATATACTTATCCGAATAGAACTTTTATATAGTAAAGAATTGGCCAAACTGACACAATCTTTGATTATTCATGGTAAGGTCATAACTACATTTTTTCCTGGTTTTTCGGCTAGTAAAATCCTCAGTAAGGATTATTCTCCAGAATCAGACGTATAATTTTTGTGTATGCTGCACTTCTGATTTTTCTTCTTTCAAGAATGCCAGATGGAGCAAAACA